TGTGTGTGAGCGAGTGAGACAGTAGGGTGCGTGTGAGTGGGGTGTGTCTGTTTGTGAGAGAGAGTGAGAGAGAGTTTGTGTGAATGTGTGTGTGTACATTGTGGGTTGAACCCGATTGTTTGCTTCCCCAATGTTCTGACAGATCAGAGTCTTCTGTTCCACTTCCCAGACTCCCATCCCAGTCCCAGCGCCATCCGGGGCCCAGACTCCAGAGCGCCACTCCCTGTTTCCCCGAATGGGTGTTAAAATTCCACTCTGCTGTCCCAATGCACTAACCAGGAAATTTATCAATACTGACAGTCAATTATATCAGCTAAATAATGAGCTGAGTTAGACTCTGAGACAAAAGCAACAATTGCCAGTTCCAAATCAGATATAAGATTTTAATGCATTGTGTAAAAAAAGTAATCATTTCCAAAAATATATACCTTTCCATTTCACAACATAAAACCAATCCTCATCACTTCAATAATTATACTGTGATCAGTCTTAATATAAAATGTTTGTGGTCAATTCCAGCAAAAATATAAACATCTTTCAAAAAGTAAAACCTTACTGAGTATTTGCGTTCACCTCAGTTTTTAAGACTCATCTTTCTTGAAGAGATATTAGGGCAAAAACAGATCCTAAATGGGGATCAAAACTGGCCAGCAAGGGAAGCAGAACTGAGGAAAGCTGATTGAGGATTAATCAATAATTGAATTGAGGGGTTCAAAGGGATTTATACATAGAATATCAAATACCATGGAATAAGTTACAGACTGGAATCTAATTGACAGGTTCAGGGGTGGTTTTTATATAGAATAACAGATACCTGGGAATGAGTTACAGACTGGAATGTAATTGAGGGTTCAGAGGGGTTTGTATGTAGAATAACAGATACCCAGAACTGAGTTACTGACTGGAATCTAATTAAGGATCAGAGGGGTTTGTATAGAGAATAACAGATACCTGGGAGTGAATTACAGACTGGAATCTAGTCAAGGGGTTCGGGGTGTTTATATATAAAATAACAGATACCCAGGAGTGAGCTACAGACTGGAATTTAGTGGATGGGTTCGGGGTGCTTTATATATAGAATAACAGATACCTAGGAGTGAGTTACATGCTGGAATCTAATTGGTGGGTTCAGGGTGGTTTATATATAGAATAACAAATACCTGGGAGTGAGTTACAGACTGGAATCTAATCAGGGGGTTTGGGTTGGTTTATATATGGAATAACAGATCCCTGGGAGTGAATGTCAGACTGGAATCTAATTGGTGGGTTTGGATGGACTAATGGTTAACTGAAAATAAGTTACAAGTTAAAACCTCATTGACCTGTACAAATTTTCGTAGATAGAATATCATCCAGGTGGGAGTTACAAATGGGAATTTAATTGTGGGAGTCTCCGGAAATGTGTCAATGCTTGCAAAGTGAACTGGAGGAGGCCATTCAGCCCTTGATCCAATTCAATCAGATCATGGCTATCTGCATTTCAACTCCACTCAGCCCCTTCTTTCCAATCCCTTCTTATCCTCACAAACAAAAATTGATCAATCTCAATTTTGAAATCTGCCGTTGGAATAAATATCCCCCTTTGGTGGAGAAGTGCTGGTTGATTCACACATAACTCTGATTTGCTGCTTGACAACTTATTGCTAAATTTAAAGTTGGAATCATCAAGCACAGAAGGAGGTCATTCTTCCCCTCGTATCCAT